TTAAAAAAAGAAAACGAGATTGTTTCGAGTCGTCCCCTACGATTGCAAAATCCTACAGTACTATTGCAGCTACAATATCGCATCCGTAGTAAGCTCCTGCGTCAATCTCCCAGGTTTGGAGGGAGCTTCAACCTCATCCGTTGAAGTTTCTATCTCCTAATCATATGGTATTAGGCAGACCACATTGAAGATGGTGAAAACATTGTAATCTCCTGGTAAGTTAAATTTGTTGGCATTGGCATTCCAAAGAACATCTTAATAGAGTATCTATTCATCCTGTTTTGGCACAATCATAACTAAAAATGTATGTGGATGACTATCCTAACGAACCAAGTCTCGAGCCATAAAATTTATAAATGGCATCTTCCACTCTTCGTACTTGTCCGAGTATATCTGATAAAAAAGTATGTAATGAGAAATTAGCTCTGCGACAAATTTATGGCAGCCTGTTTCACACTAAAGTATAACCACTCAAGAGATGTTTCTTCTTCTCTGAAAGGACCTAGATCACATTATAAGATGCTTCTTCCTACAAATCTCCTAAGGCAATTTCCAACACTATGGTCAATCCATCCTGCTTGATTAGCCATATGGGTGTATTGTTGAAGTGATTTTAATACCTCAATGACTCCCTATGGAGTTCCAAAAAAGATACAAAAGCGTCTCATCTCGAACAGACTGGAACTCCCTCGGCATGGGGAACTCAGGAAGTATGATATATATTTTAAAATTCTGAATTTTTCTTATCATACATTACATTGTGTTCAATATCGACTCCTCGAACTCATGACCCTTTTTGGACTAACAGTCCTGTTGATGCTCCTCTCAAAGTCTGTAAAACGGTAATTTGAGACACCACAATCTCATACTCTGCATGAATGTCTATTATCTCAGGCTTACTGCCTTCTAGGACAGTTATTGTCAACTCAGTTGAAGTCTCTCCCTTGAATTCAACTTGCATTACCTTTATTTCCCTTTGGTCGGAAGTTGAAAATCAACTCTAAAATCTTCATCTTCCCCCGGGTCACCATTTATTTCTTCAACAGCTCCATAATCAGTGAAAGAGATCACTCTTCTGGTTATGCAATCTGATTCATTATGCCCAAACCCAAAGCACCTGAAACACTTCTTGATTGGGACGAATTTAGGAATGTGGCTTGGTTCCACCCGTCCTCCACTCTGAATCAATTTTTCCTCTAACGGTGTTAGCATGGATGTTCTCCTGGTTGTATTATGGACGTAATATTCTAAGATTGAACTCTGCCTATAAGATATGGCGGTCGACCGATGATGTGCTCTCCACTTCTGAAACTAGGGTATGAGTATTTTGTTTGTAGTAAGCTGGTAGGAAATGACTCTGCATCTCCCGCTTCATCTTAGACCAAGTAGTAATCTTATCTTGTAATTCATGCAGGAGTATGGAATTCAAATTCTCCCTATGGAAATGTCGTGGCCTATCTTCTTCATCGTTGAAATTCTCCTTATGGAAGGGATTCAGATCCTCATCTTATTCTCCCCTTCTACTCTCCAGATCACAGTTGAGGGTAATCTCTTGCAAGGTTTCAACTTCAATATCTGCAAGCCTCCGTTGAAGTCGACGAATCTCTCGTTGTATCTCTTCTCGGATAAGCTTGGGCATGTATCTCCCTGGTAGCATGACTAGGGTATCGAATTGGGAGGTGAAAGAGGGTGAAAAAAATTGATTTAGGGTTTTTTAATTTGTAAATCAATAAGAGAAAATTAAAGTTAGGTCAAATTTGGCTATGGTTTGGAAATAGGAAATAAAATTTTTGGAGGAGAAATCAGATGCTAGGAAGCCCTAGAATAAGACTAAAATTAGGCTAAATCTGATACTAAATGATACCAGAGTTAACCTAAACCATAATTGAAAAACAAATATTATTACTTGAAACAACTAAACGGTTACAATCAACACACTTGAAAGAAAAAATATAATATGAGACCCAAAAAATAAGAAATAGCAATAAATACACCCAAATAACCAAACTACGGTGGAATATGTCAACAATAGGAATTAACGTCGATTTTTTTCCCTATTACCGTCGAAATTGTCCAACGATAATTTGTCTTTCTTGTAGTAAGTGAATCATTGATTAACAAAATATATTGAAAAAAATTACCTAGACAACTGTATTATTATATCTTATGCTATTATTCCTTTATTTTTAATCTTATATAAATATATTGATCATATGTACTTAGTTTATGATTTTGTCCATTCATGATTGCCACACAAGATATTTATTATTTTTCAATATTTGAGTTATATATTAAATTTGTTTATTTTGTTAAGCTTTTACTAGATTATCACAAATATTTTTACATTTAAAAAAAAATTAACACCGAGCAGAATCAGTATAGTTTTATGAATATATTTTGTCATACAAAAACTATAATATTGAGAAATTTAGAGGTATGACATCAGCAAATCTTATTTTTTATTTTTTATCCAAATTTTGGTGTGTTTTAGATATTCTATAGATATATTTAAATGAAATGTTTTGAGTTGCTTCTAATTATTTGAACAATTTAATTTATTTAAATGAAATATTTTGAGTTGCTTCACATAATTTAATACTGTCATTGGCGGGTCTCAAACCCATATGCGAAAAGTTGAGGTTTATGTTAGGTAGTCGACATCCAGCGTAAAATTTTTATCAAAAAATCATGACATGAATCTTTTCAATCATTGTCTAAATGGTAGGGCATCCACTAGTAATGAATCGCTGTATGACCCAACTACAGCAAAAAGTGTGTAAGAGTCGCTACACTGACACCCGAGTGTAGTGTTGAATAAGCAAGGATTCTCGCATTATTAACGAATTTGGGTAAAAATATAGTCCATAAATTAATATCATGATAGGATCTTGAAATATAGGTTCTCACACGGGTAAATTAATGAATATAGTAGATATAATGATTTATAGAAAGATAAATATCTAATGTATTCAGGAAATTAAATGGGTCAGACAAAAGGCTAAAGAGATTGATAGTTAAGGCTTTCAACTTCCGTTTTTAGGAATGAGCCATACTCGAAATAATGTAGATGTAATTATAGGTAAGAGATAAAAAATAAAGGTATAAAAATTAATACAATTGGAGATAAATTAGAGCAATTAATAGAATTGGAGATCCATCCATCCATCTTCTCTTCTTCCCCTTCTCCTTCAGTCTCGGCTTGACCTAACAGAGCAGGCACAAAGACAGCGCCTTGCATCATTTTCTCTTCTTTCTCTACACATGAGAACCCACCTCCCTTCTTCCTTCTCTTCTGCAGCTTTGTTTCTTCTTCTTCACTTAGCTAGCTCTTCTTTCTCATATTCTAAGTCTCGTTGGATACAAACAGAAGACGCGGCCACTCGACTTCTAACCGAACCATTCTACTATTATGTGTTGATTCGATTTTTATTATTATTATTATTTTCAATAATTACAATTAGTTGCATAATCTTAGGGTATTTATAAAGATGATTAGGGTAGAAATTTTGTGTTTAGATAATTGGTATATGTCACGCTAAAACACTTTTGCGTTGATAAAAAGAGAGAAATATATTTTATAAGTATATAAAATTTTAATGGTCAAGCAGAGAATGTCACAACATGAATGTACTTTTATTAGAGGAAGATATACAGACTGTCCACAACTTTCTTGCCTTAGAAGAGTCATTTTATAATTTAGAAGTTAGAGGCCAGCATTTTCCTTCACATAGCCAAATATCATTCCTACGTTCCTACCTTAAAAATCATAATGAATAGAAAAAAAATTAGTGGCACACTTCACATCCATATTAGATTTATTGATTAATAATAAACTATAGGAAAGCTTAGGAATCATGAAAATAGAGACAAAAACCAGAGCATTAGTACCGATAATCCCAATGCTAGTTGCTTGCAAATATAAACCAAAGACAACCATGACAATATAATACTTCAAACAAGATGAAGGATTTTTAATAGGCATCCGCTATCATGTGATAAAAGGCTCCAGAGTCCAACAGTGTAGAAGAACCTTTGGACATTAAAGGCATTCAAGGCCATATCTTTGAGCATTTACAACAATAACGGTTTATATTATAAATTGAATACAGCAACTTTAAGGTTTCCTGGATAGCAATGTCACATTATATTGATTCATAGGATGACACAACTCAAGAGGAGGTTTTTTTTCCAAATCTAATTTGATTTAAATATGCGAGATAAATAAGACTTATAATTTTTAGGGGAAGAGAATGTAGACAGAAGTATTGATATTGAAGATAAAAAATAGAAAGAAGAAATATAGAGAAGTGCATCTCTAATAGCATGTTGAATAGCATAAGAGAAGAATATGACATTTTGTTTAATCAAATAGATAGAACAAATATGATATTTATAGGAGAGATAGCCTACATAAAAAAAAGAACCTAATTAAATAAAGTCATATTAAGGTTTTAAAAATTTTCAAATAAGCAAACTGTGGTTGACAGACTACTTAGACATGCAGAAGGTTAGCAGATAGCCAAAAAGCATGATTACATGACTGTCAAACATTACATTCAGCAGAGGTGGGCTTGCAAAGTTGGTGAAGTGAGCTAGAAGGCCCGAAGTGCTACCGATTGCCAAGATGGCATAGGATCGGGAATTTAATGCTTCAATACATGTTACCTAATAATGAAGATGGATTCCAAGAATATTTACGACATTGTCGACATTGTCCTTAATCAAGATGTGTCCAACAGAACTATGGTTAGTTCCGTGCCTCATTTTTTATAATATTGCCTTGTGATGGGATATGATCGCATGATTTATGCATACCGGATAGGTGCGAGGTAAGTTTAATGATTTAGTTTTCCTTCCTAATGGTTGTTATTTGCCAGTAGGTCTTCTTCCAATTCGTGCTCTAAAAACTATTCAAGCATATCAATAGGCATTATCACAAATTAGAGTGATATACGTTCATACACGCAAATATAGAAATAAACAATTATTGCTTCACACACCTTCAAGTCATCTATATTGTCGTAGGTTGAAACAGGTAAGTCAAAGCAGCTTATCCCATGAATATCTTCTTCTGGTTCTTGAGATGCAGCTCTATTGGATAATCTCCTCAAATTTTTTGCTGTATTACTGGGGCTCCACATGTAAGCAAGTTCAGCTCGCATTTTTCTAAAAGTGTGAGGCTGTAATCAAGTAAAAAGTACAAAATGTGATGAATTCCTATCAAACTTAATCATCAAACAAATTTTGGAAAGGAATGAGTTGTAACACACCTAAATAAAAGAACGACTGATTAAAAAAACAAAATACTGAAATTAATTTAAATAGAATCGCTAACTGATTAAGTAGTGTTTGTTTCATCAGTTTATTGCTCCATAATAGCCCCAATGTAACGGAAAATTTAATGGATTTACTTTTGAAAATGATATATGTTAAAAGTTATAATAGGAAACAATTTATTCCTATAAGAAGTGATGAGGATTAGAATTATTTCCTTGGATTGAATTTTTTTAGCCTTTCCTATTTTATATCGTTTCTTTTATTTCCAAGTAAATATTATGAATTACTTAATTGTTGATATAGATGTTATATATTTCCTTTCACGTTATTTCATTTTTCTTCTTTTATATTCCAGGATTAATGTAAAAGTATTTATACCTCCTTTTCATATCCAAAAAAATAAAATTCCGCTGAATTCTGAAAAATCAACATGGTATCAGAGCCTTGAAGCAAACTCTAGAGTCTCCAGCAGCCGAAAACTTCCTATTCCCTGTAGATGGCAATCTTTGTCGTGCTTCAAGCCCTTAGTCTGCCTCCTCTTTTTTTTTTTTTTTTTTTTTTTTTTTTAAGCCGGAAACTTCCTCTCCCTGGAAGCCTAGCCGCTGGAACTCTTTACCCTACAGGCCCTAGCCATTTGAACTCCTTTCTGTGGGAAATAGTCGTCGAAACCTCCTGCAGGCTGCCTAATGCTAATTTTCCAACAGTCGGCCCCTTCTTCCCACTGGAAACTCCCGTCTCTACAAGTTTCAGCTATTGGATTCACTAATGACTCTCCTGTCGCTGGTTGGAAACTCCCGCTGCTGCGATTGTCCAACAAGTCGTTGAACCTTCCTACAGGCTAGTACAGGCTTCCCTATCGTTTCCCAGCAGGTTTCTGTTTTTTTTTTTTTTTTTCCATTTCCCTATAGCCTTTGCTTCAACCTCCACAGCACAGATGATTCAACCATCAGCACCGTGACTCTTCTTCTCGTCGGCAGCAGCAGCGAACCCCACTGCTAGCTCTCATCGTCAGATTGTGATCGTTGTAGATCGAAGTGAAGAAAGCACCTACATTGTTTTGGATTGTCCCGTTCTACCTGGTGATGTCATCATCCACCTTCATGTTCGCTCCACTTCTGTTATCAATGGTGCTGATTGGGGGTCGATAGACCTCTCCGTTTCGGAAGTCGCGGCTGCCACTGAAGAGGTTAACTCCGTGCAGTCGCAACAGGAACTTGATGAAGTTTTTAACGTTTTCACTATCACCAAGTACAGCATCTCACCCAGTCGCTTGTATCATCTCATATCCCCTTCAAGATCCACATTGTAAAGGACAATGACATGAAGGAGAGGCAGGCTTGGGCTTAGTGTTGTTATAATAGGCAGTAGGGGATTTGGATGTTTAAAAAGAGCAGCAAAGTGAGGCATCGTAGCATCATGGATTATTGTGTTCACCATTGTGTTTGCCCGTTAATGGTAGTGGGGTACCCTGACAAAGTTGCAGGGCGCCTGACCGAAGCTGCGATCACTTCCAACACTATAACTGCTACTATATTTAACAACGCTCCGAAGCTTTTTCCTACAGCAGACCATTTTCCGAAGATTTTTTTTCTACAGCGGGCCTACCTCCACTTTTTCCTGCTATAGGCACTCTTCCAGAGTTTTTTCCTGTCGCAGGCCTTTTGCAACTTTCTCCAGCAACAAGCCCTCCTCTGCGGCCTTTTCCTACAGCAGACCCTCCTCCAAAGCTTTTTTTTTTGTAGCAAGCCCTCCTCCGTAGTATTTCCCTCAAGTAGACCCTTCTTCGAAGCTTTTTCCATAACAAACCCTCCTTCGAAGTTTTTCCCTGCAACAGGCCCTCATCTAGAGTTTTTTCCCGCAGCAGACCCTCCTCTAAAACATTTTCCTAAAGTATGCCCTCCTCCGGAGCCTTCTCCTGCAGCAGGCCATACCGTGTTGCTTTATTGTAGGTTGTGTATTTACCTGCAAACTTCTCTGTAGCATTGCCTACATAAGTTTTTTGCCTACATATAAACACTACATAAACTACAGTCAAAGACAGTCGCGGTCAACTAGAAGTCAACTTTTCCTATAGGTCTACTTCTTTGCAAACTTCTCTACAACAATAATTGTAGGAGTCTTCTGCCTACCTACAGACACTGTAGAAACTAAAGTTAAAGACAACTGAAATCAAGTAAAAATATCCTTAAATGCTATTGGGGTTGATTACCAAGTGCGAGATGAAGACTTTAAGTCCCTCACCGAGAATTTTCCTCGCCTATTGTTTGATATTTTCAAATCCAAGTTAAACATGGTTGTCAACCATGTTTCAACTTGAACAAGCTTGTCAACCATATTTCAACTTGAGGGAAAGTGTTAGAAGTTATATTAGGAAATAACTTATTTCTCTTAGAAGTTATGAGGATTCGAGTTATTTCATTGAATTGGATTTATTTCCTTTCCTATTTTATCTTTATTTCCTTGAATTGGATCTATTTCCTTTCCTATTTTAGGCTTTTCTATTTTATATTTGTTTCCTTATCTCCGAGTAATTATTATGATTGATTAATTGGAGATATAGAAGTTATATCTTTCCTTTCATGTTATTTTATTTTTCTTATCTTTACTATTCTAAGATTCATGTATGGTATTTATACATTTTCATATCAATAAAAAAATTCCGTTAAATTCTGAAAATCAACAATGTCCAATGACAGGACCCATCCAGATCTATATTTTCTTATATAGAAATGAAACTTCCTTATAATAGAGAGAATAGAGAATTATAAAAGCACGTGTAGAATTTACTTGGGTTAAGCGGCAGAGTTGTTAGTTATCAGGTAATTTCTGCAGCTCGAGCTACCAAATTTCTAGTCGTATGAAGCAGGGTGCCATTTGACATGATTTACCTAGTGGCATATTCCATCCCAAAGAACAAAGCAGCACAACAATGAAAGTTGAAGTGACAGACCTGGAGGACAGCAAAGCACAAATCTTCCATTTCTGCTTTTAAAGCCCACAAACCCAGCCTTGAAGCAAGAGAACACCATACCGTTAATGTTTCTTCTGCAACTGCTTGAGCTTTTGGCATTGATAAAGCAAAACTGAAGCAGCAGACCAAAATAAACTATTAATTAAAATTAGATATCAACAAATACAGAACAAAATTTATGGCCTTGCATGTTCTACATCTGATCTACTTAAAGTGCATAATAATCAGTCAGAAGTTAATCAGCCAAAATCTCTTGATACCACTAAACAAAATATAGCAGTTTATGAATTTATGTTAAAAATCATGAATATAGAGCTAACACCTAAAACACGGACTAGGGTTACTGATGCTGAAGATGATAACGTGTCATTATTTTTTTCAAGGTTCGCAACATAAAAACTGACTTCATATAGTTATATTGTTGCACATAAATTCAGAAGAAAAGGAAAATCTAGCAAGAGACAAAATTCAGTGCATCATGTTCGTGATAGTACTCAAACAGCTCTATCAGATAATGGGACAGGCAGAGAAAAGCCTTGAAAAGGCAGGATGTTGTATATGAACTAAATTTCAACTTACAGAAGAAAAAAAATTCAAACAAATTAGCAGAAAAAGTTTCCCCATACTTGAATTTCGCATTAAGCGATGTTGTTAAACCTTGACAAAGATCAACAAATATACAGTTTGCTCCAGTTTCAAGTGCAGTAACGTGCATTCTTTTCTATTCATTACTAAGGTACACAAAGTTATCCATAATCATATTTCTCTCTTTTTTTTTTAAGTTCAAATTTGTAGCTCCAACTGGTTTGAGGCATGGATTTTAACATTCAGTTCTGAAAAAAGGTACAGCCATAAATAGTAATACACAAATTCTCTCACTTACCATTTAAGAGCAAATTTATAGTTCAGAAATACTGTTTTGCCCCAATTGCAACAAGATCCAAGATTTTTCTGATTGTGATGCTTGGTTCATGTGTTATTTATCTAACAATTGCACTTCTAAATATTTTTAGTTAATAATTATTAAACGAAGACACATAGCTCTCACATGAAATTACCAGAATATTTTACTAAAAAATAACCCTAGTGCATTTCAAAATTTACATTAATAGTCATACATTAGTTATGTTTTCAGTGCAATTTGGCAACCTTGCCACCTTCATTTTGACCACCATACATCCTTCCCACCTAATGGCAGCAGTATCTGCACAAGAGGAGTGATAGGCCATTATCCACCCAAATACATAGCAAATCAAATGGAAGGAAAATATTAGGGCGTGGATAAGTTAATGTGATCTAAATAAAAGCTAAAAAAGGGGTGGTGGGAAGAGGGGTTGGACAGCCATGAGGGAACCTGCTCACAAGAGCATTACTTTCTGGGAGATACAAAGTAAGATAAGATGTGCTGAATCCTCAAATGTATAATATTATTTTGGAATTTTACAGGAACTAGTGGTACTAAACAAAGACTAAAATTTCTCATTTATTACGTAGGTTATTAAACTAGTGGATGTATATCCAACTATCCTCTATAAAGTAGGTTCAAGTCAAGTAAAATCGACCATACATGAGTAGTCAAATAAATTAAAAGAATTAGCCTATTGAATTCAACAGCGTTAACGATAAATTTAAGAATCAAGTTTTAGTCAATAAAAAAACTATTTTCCAAGGAACTAAGCCACAGGGATGAGAAGACTTAGCCGCCAAATTATTCAAAATTCCTTTAAATCAGCACAACAAATTTGCCAAGGAAAATACTTCAAAAGTAATAAATTTATTAAGGCACTAGGCGAAGTCAAGCGAAGACAGCAAGTGCTTCCCATAGGATTTAACTATAACAAAGCTATTAACACTTATTTTTATACATGTTTTCAACTAAATATTTCACGTATTTTAAGTAAACACCTTCCTATTAAGTTTTGTTATATATTTATTTATTCTTTACGTAAATCAAATGTAAACTTTTTAATTGTTTTATTAATGTTGACGAATATGACTATTACGTGCCGAAAAATTCACGATAGTAGAGTGATAATTTAACATCTTAGTGTTATACGAAGATCCAACATACATAAAAAAAGAGAAGCGGTGGGAGGAGAAACCAATATTTTTACATGAAAAATCCTAGAAAGAGAAAAAATCACTAGGCCTAACCCTGTCAAAATAACACACTATGCAATTGTAAGTACATGGGTTCGCTCTTCTCCTGAATTTGAGAAGATGGATTACAAATATGATGATCACAGATGTACAGTAGTAATTTAGCTATAATAGTCATAATTGGGCAACAAAAAATATAATTCTTGCCTATAATAACAATATTTGGCCAAAAATGCTTAGTTAATGGTTGTAATAGTAGTAATTGGCAAAAGAGACTGTAGTTGGAGGTTGTAACAACTGTAGTTGATCATAGAAGCTGTAGTTGGAAACAATAATCATAGAAGTTTGCCACAAAGGTCGTAGTTAGTCACATAGAACGTAATTGTTTGCTACACATGCAAGAATTGGCTATATAGACTATAGTCAAAGAATGCAATAGCATAAATTGGTCACAAATTTCATAAAAAAAAATAACAATAATAATTGGCAATTGGCCACAGAGGTCATAAAAGAAAAATGTTGCGATAATAGTTGGTCACAAATATTATAGTTTCTTTTGCTACAAAGGCACAATTGGTCGTAAATAATGTAGTCGGTGTTTGCAATATTGATTGCTGGTCACAAAGACAATAGTAGTTGGTCATAGAGGCTGCAGTTTAGCTACAATTGTTGCAAGCAGTAGTTGTCGATGACAAGTGGTCGACGACGGTAGGTGGCGCCTACGGAGGCCAATGGTTACTCGTCAATTCTCTCAAGGACGGGCTCTGAAATTTTAAGTCTTGACCTCTTCTCCTCCCTACCAAGTGAAGATAACGGGTTTATTTATAGCCTTTTGGGGGTGGGGGCAATTCGGTCTTTGGGCACATAAACTTCCCAAACCACCTGATCGGATATCTATATTGATCCCCCTAAACCTTGTATAATTTTTAAGAATTTAGGTGTCTCAATGACACCTCGAAATTGAGTGATCTTAGGCTTGTTAGATTCCTCTCGTAGAAAAACTCAATTCGGCTACAAATATGTCAAATTTAAAGTTCAAAAATATGTCAAATTTAGAGTTCATTTGGCCCTTCAATTAATTATCCAAAGCCTCTAATTGTGCTTCAACGGCTTGATCTAGGATTAATTGGAACCGAATTGACCTAATTTTAGATTCAATACACTCATGTTATAAAGACGATCAGAATGACTATAAACTTGTTGAAGTCAGGGCCCAAGTGAACTTGCATTTGAATTTAAGAACGTTTATTGTTCAAAAATGCATCGAGATTCGTGTTAGATGATAATAATTTCTTGAGGACACAACAGTACCAATGAGTAAGTCGCTCAATTTCTAGCCGAAAAAGAAATTGACAATTTTCCAAGAACCATCAAAATCTTCCAAAGAGCTTTATGTTGGTGTCACTTTTAAAATTAACAACATCAATATTATTGTTAGCAACCAAAACATCGTGAAATAATATCCTATGGAGCAAAAACAAAATACCAAGAATTCTGATGTTAGAAAGAGAGTGATCACCCTTAGATTGCAAGTATGCAACTTTTACTCGATTGTAGCATCATTGTTTAAAATTCTGCAATATAAGTCCCACCTTGATGTTCACCTCAACAACTTCTGAAACAATTGCAATGAGGATTATGCCTTATAGGGTACTACATGAGACATATTGAAGTTAACACTAACCACGACGCAGGACGCAATTTTATTACTGACTTAAAACAATGTTACAATGAAGACTCAAAATAACGAAAAACAACACACAAAGCAAAAGCACAAAATAAAGGATTATAACTAATGACTAAACAAAAACGACAACCGCTTGATGAGAAGGGCAGGTTGGATTGGCGGCTGCGGCGAAGGCCGGAGAGGTAGAGCTGCTGTGGAAGAAATGGGACAGCTAAGTGGCAATAGTAACAGCGTCGAACCTGATTACGAGCAGGCGCTCAGCTGCAATTCGTCTGAGGTGGTGACCGTCGCTAAGGGTCCGGGTGGTGCTCCGACTGTAGTTTGACCCCAACGAGACGTTTATCCTTTTGCAACCCCCTCCGACCCCGCTTCCAGAAACTGCCAACCATTTCAAGGCCTCTAATCCGCTGCCCAGCCACCGTTCACCACTTCCCAGCTCCCCAAAACCTATTGCCCACTCTCTGTTTTACCCTGCTGTCGCGCCTAAGTCCATATCCAGCTGCTGCCATCACCCTCACAGCGCCCCGCCGGTTGTTGTACCCTCATTCCAGCCTCTTGTTGCGCTCGTCTCCTCCAACCAATCCCTCGCCCAACTGCCCAGCCATCATATATTGCCCTAACCACCACCCTAGGGTGTTTGTCATGTTTGTCTTGTTGTTATTCTCCGATTATCAATAGTCGGTGTTTGTAGTCATTTTTGAATTTTAGCAATAAAATTATCATTTTCTATTATGATTTGGGCTTTTTCTTCAGCGTCACCTTTCTTTTTTCTCAAGAAAATGACAATGTTGACACCTTCCACTGTTCTCCTCTGTCGTTGCAGTCTTCTTTTTTCTGCAACAAGCCCTTCTCCGGATTTTTTTTTCCTGCGGTAGAACCTTCTCCCAAGTTTTTTTTCCTGTCGTAGGCCTACCTTTTGAGCTTTTCCATTTTTTTTGCAACTCAGACCCTATAGCTTTTTATGTAGGTTGTCTATTTTCTTTACAGGTCGTGCCCCTGCAGCTTTCCCTATAGGTTGTTTATTTCCCTATAGGTTGTACCCTTCCGCTTTCTCTGTAGGTTGTATACTTCCCTACAGCGTTACTTGTAGAAACATTCTGACAATCTACAGAAATTACAGAAACTGCAGTCAAAGTCAACCGCAATCAACTAAAAGCATCCGTAAATGCTCTTGGGGATAAAGACTTTAAGATTTACCTCACAAAATATCTTCCTCACCCATTATTTGATGATTTCAAATTCAAATTCAACATGATTGACAATTATGTTTCAACTTGAGGGGGGTGTTAGAAGTTATTAGTATTGTTTATTTCCTTTCAAGTTATATATTATTTTATGTTAGAGTTATCAGTATTGATTTATTTTATTTTCGATTATTTCTTATTTTATGTCTTTCCTTTTATCTCTGGTTAGATATTAGAAATTAATTAATTATAATTTTGGAGATATGGGAGTTATGACTTTTCTATTATAGAATTCATTTAACCCCTTTGATGTTAATAAAATTATTATGTTGAATTCTCAAAACCCGCTTTAAAAAACTAGAATAATCAACAAATTGCTAGCATCAATTTGAAAGTATGATGTGTAACAAAAAATATAGACCTATCATTAACGTATTGTTATTAGATTTATTTTAGCTTATTTTAAACTAGTGCTAGCACAATCTTAATAAAGTACTATGGATAAGCACAAGGATCGCTCAACGGGGACATAGAACGTGATCAAAAAATTGAAAAATGTACAAATGAGGACTAACAGAGAAGAAGTTGTACATGGTCCGCATATTGTGCAATCGATCAGCAAGCTTAATGAGGACAACCCGAGGATCATCAACCATGCCAAGAAGCATAACTCTCAAATTATGGGCCTGAAAGGACAAAGATACTATTTTGAAAATAATCAAATTAATAAACAATCCAAACACACAAAAAGCCAAAGATAATAAACAATCACATCCATGACAGATGAAAAAAAATATTAAAGATATAAAATCCCAATAATTTCACTTTCACAGCTCTCACTTCGTATAAAAGGAATGGACATGATAGGAAACAACAAGAACTTAAACAACATGCTATCATCCATCATCCATATCTAAACCATTTATTGTAAATTTAATTGTGTGAATGAATATACCACAGCAAGACCTCATCATCCACCATAAAAAAACTAGCTTATCTTAACCGAATGATAAGTATAGAATAGTTAAAAATCGCAATGTGACTCCTATGGTTGTTGGTTAAAGCAATAGAAGTAAATAAAGATTACATATTTACCTTGATGTGTGGCTATAAATACACCCTCCACCTTATTGTAAATACAATTCAACTCATTTTTCTTTCTAGTGAAATCCTTTTCTCCTATTCTCCCTTCTCTGTTTTGCTCCTTTTTACAGGCTGTCAGACTCGGTAGCCGAACTGTACAAGAAACAGCATTCAATCCCGGTGAAGGAGCTCAGCTCCAAGAAGGGCGTTCAGCATTTTGAGCGGAACTCTTGAAGGCTGAAAATAAGTGCTCAAGGCAACTACTGTATCAGAGGAGTTACGTCCCTTCCCATCTTCAGGAGGTCCTTTTGTGCTGTGGAGTGTTCAAGTTTTCTTGCTGTTTACCTGAAGGCTATCAATGAAGAAGTGGATCCTAGACTGGAAAGTTGACGGGAATAAATTGATGTTAGGCAGAAGCAGTTCAGCAAGAAAAACCATTGACAACGAGAAATTGAAGGATCTGATCAGTCATAACAAGAAGGAAAGAGAAGAATAGTGCAGTACACTCTCCAACACAAATTCTTGTGTGATTATCAGAATTATAAGCAGTGCTTCTCTAAAAGTGGTATCAAATCTAGATTAAGAAGATCAAAGAAAGAGACTAAAAATTCATGTAGATTTTGCTGGCCAAGATTGAGACCTAAAGGTTGACTAGTCTCAAAGATTTCCACTTTTAGAGGCTGAAAAGAAGGCAATTCTTCTGCAACATGGCTTGGATGCTGCTCTATCAACAATAGCAAGTAGAGCTCAACAAGATTAGGATCTAGCTTTGTCACTCAACTGGATATTTAACCCCATAGCAAATCAACAGTGAGAATAAATATTGCTGTAGTTTACTGAAGAGCACTGGCTAACCTGATTTCACCTTCCGCTGATAAAAAAATGAATGGGAATTCGAGAAGTGATTGAAAATTGCCATTAAGAAAATATAATCTTCCGTCTAAAAGATAAAATAAACTCTCCATTCCTTTCCCTGCTTTGCTTCTGTGTGACTGTTAGAAAGAGCAAAAACAAATGTCTAGTTGCCCGGGATAGTTGTTGAGTTAGAATCATATGGATGAGATTCTTTGTAACTCTCGAACAAAGGCAATAAACCATATTCTGGGTGGGGATAAGCACTCATACCTCCAGTAGATAAAGAGTGACATATCTGACTAAACGACTGCATAGCTTACTAAATAGTTTTGAAGAAAATAAAAGCTGGCAGCATAATCAAATGCATCGTCAGTGGGACAAACCCGGAACAGGTATGAAGTAAGAAAGGTTTGGCCCAAGTATTGATGTTAGGAATTGACGTTTTGCATTTCCCTATTTCTACATGTTATACACCTTGTTTGGTCATTCATAAGAACTCATGAGCCAAAAAATACAAGAAAGATTGATTTAGTAAAATAAACCAAATGCTGTAAGTAATAAAAATGCAATAAGAAGATGATCTATAACGTCACATGAATAAACGAAATCAAACAAGAAATTCAATCCAATCTGCAAGAAATCAATAAGAAATCAAACCTCTTTAGGACTAAGAGTACTATGGCTAACAATTTTCTGACGGTGTCTTCGCAATAACTGCCAATTGAAAAAAATTTGAAGGAAAATCAATGAATAAACAGACCTTTGGTATACATGGAAGTTTACATGCACAAGCGCACAGCAAAATTATGAGAAATAGATATCACATACTATAAAATATTCTTATCCTCAATTCTTGCCAACATAATAATTGTTGCCTAATAAAAAGATAACCTCCATTCCAAAAAAAGATTTACAGATGGCAAATTTGAATCAAAGTTTTAAAAAAACAAGCTTTTGCAAACAACATAACTGTACTACTATTATAAAGCAGCTTAAGATTTCACCGAGAAAAAGTCCTAGCATTAATTTTTAACTTTAAACTAAAACACTTGAATGCCAGTGGAAATAGGTTGGAATTTGTAGAATAGAGCTCAAACAAAATATAATTTAATTTGCACAGAGTTTAAAGATAAATAGGCATTTTCTTTCGCACTATCAATCATATCTATCAGTTTTATTATCATAAGTTCTACATTATTCTATATTGGTTATTATCTTAACATAGCATTAACTTACTCCGTTAGGAACCAAATACGGTACGATAGCTGAATTATCTTATAGCTTTGAAATTATTATATAGAAATCATACTCGGCTCCTAGCAAACTATGAATAAGATTTCCTTCATGATTCCCTAACCATTCTAAGTGAAAATAATGATGTAAATTTTTAATATAAAATTAAAAAGATGAATGTATCATTTATTGCATAAAATCCTAAATCAAGATATTTATCTATGTAAGAATGATACCTGAATGATTAAAAATATATTTCTTTTAATAATAATAATAAACAAAATTTAAATTTAAATTAACTTTTGATTAATGTTTTTGTTTACATGCATTTGATAAACATGTATTCAAACTATATATACTACTATCAAAAAGTTGCTTGAGATTTTATAGAGAGAAAATCTGAATATTTAAGTCTCTATCTTTAATCTACACAATTGATTTATGCCAATAAAAGCAAGTTGAAACATATAAAATAAAACTCAATCACAATTTTAGTTTTTTTGTAGGTATTTTAAATATAAACACACACTTTTATGTTCTCATATCAATCATATCCATATGTTTTCTAGGTAATATCCATATTACCTAGAATCCTATTAAAAGGTCGCTTGAAATTTCACCCAAAACAAAAAAAGCCTAGCCATTAAGTTCTTATCTTTTATCTAAACGATTGATTTGCACCAATAAAAAAAAAAAGTTAGAATTTATAAAATAGAACTCAAACAAAAATTCATTTATTTTCCAAGTATTTCAAGGACAATTAAACATTTTCATTTCTTATGTTAATCCAATCCATGTGTTCTATCAAAACGTTAAAGCATTCATTTAAACCAATAGAAACAAGAAGGAATTTCTAACAAAGTGTCAGAAAAAATTTGTATTTATTATCCAAGTATTTTGAAGACATCCAAAATTTCTTTCCTAGTTTAGGTCAAATCAATATGTTATATCATCATAAGTTTTATATCATTCTATGCTGAATATTACTATCTTAACAGCCTAATGTTATTTCCTTAGGAACCCATCTAGTCATTTTCTCTAGGAGTTGACGATAGAATCGCATAGTAACTGCATCATTTTTTGGCTCTGAAATTTTACATAAAAGATATTGACTCCTAACATACCATGAAAAACAAGACTTCTTTGATTATTCCCTCACCATCAAAAGATCTTTAAATATGAATAATGCCTGAATTATAATAAATATATTTTTTTAGTTTGAGTTTGTTTAAGAGTAGTTGATGCAATTGTTTTTAAAGTAGTTCCAAATGAGAAGTTCACAACGTGATAGTATAACTTCACCAAGAACAATTTTACAACATTTTCGATATATTGAAAGTTTTGCTTTTAAAAAAAATGGATGATTCCCTAAACAATCATAGCCAGATTTGTCAATATTTTGAGCAAATAGGTTGAATGTATTTTCCTTTGCTTTCATTCCATTAAATAATAGTCTGTACAATCTATTTTAGGTATATAATATTATGTATAATCTATTTTAAGTAATTTAATACATATTCCTAACCTAAATATTCAGCTAAAAAGAAAAAATTCATGCAAATATAATATTTTCTTCTTTGCAGCATTATGAAGAAAGAAACTCTTTATTCTGTCTGATTTAATTTATTCTTGATTTATATTCCCCCCTAAATTGATGTTGGTTGATCAATAAGCATCAATTTGCTGACAAAAAACTGATGAGGCTGTCGAGAAAGAGTCTTAGAAAAAATATCAGTCGTTTAAAGATCAGAAGTGATACGAGGAAGAGATAAAACACCATTCTCATAGGCTTATCGAATGGAATGACAATCCGCTTCAATGTGTTTTGGGGTGTCGTGGCACTCCGTAAGAGTATGTCTGTTTTGCTTGCATTAAGTACATATCTTATTTTTACAATTTCGTGCAATATGACTAAATTTCTTGCAGCTGTAGGACTGCACTAGTCTCTTCCCTTTGGTCTTAGCAGCATATGTCATATTAATTATTTTTTATGATCCACATGTTGTACTGATACTAGTTTGTGCTGTCAATCTTTGTTTTTCACGCAGTAATTGCCCAAAACAAACATCCAAACAAGGAACCGGATCTCTGTTCAGCAACCCAGCTCGAGCAACTTCGAATTCAGGTTTAAGTTTCATTAAAAACTGATCACGACGACTTTCTTCATGAATAGCCTTAATACTAGCTAAGTTCTCATTTGACACCTTAGCATAGATAATACGAGTATATTCGCACCATAAATTTAGAAAGCTAGAATAATATTGTTCAATTGAAAGATTATCCTGATTATAATTACTCATTTCAAGTTTCAATTGGAAGCGTTTTGCATAATTATCTTGATTTTAAACGCGCTTCAAGTATTCTCACATTTCTTTAGTTGTGCTAGAGGATCATAAATTGTTCACTATATGAGCCTCAATAGATCCCAAAATCCAAGAAGCAATCCAAGCATCCTTTGCTTCCCATTGACCAAGATTTTTTGCCTCAATAGCAGCTAGAGAAAACCCGTCAATATGGCCCTAAAGCTCTTTCTCTTTTAAGAACATTCTGAGCTGAATTCTCATGTGACATAATTTTTTTCCCGTAAATCTGATAGCTAAAATTTTGGAAAACATTCTAAACAGAATGATCGTTGATCGAAATCAACTAAAAATAAAAGAAAGCCAAGATATCCAAATACAATCCAAATCGTTGATTTATCAACGTGAAAGGGCTAGGGCGGAAAAGTGTTGGGCGCAGGGAGGAAGATTGTCGGTTGAATATTTAAATTTCGGCGGGAGAGGGAGGCGAGATTGACGGCGGCTTCAGCTTGAGACAGAACGCGGTCGTATATTGGATTTCGGCGTGAGAGGGAGACGCGATTGACGACGGCTTCAGCTTGAGAGATAACGGCTTGGGGTAGAAAAAAACGGATCACGGTTGTCGCGATCGAAGGGAAGATCGCGATCGATGAGAAGATCGCGATTGGCTTGAAACAGATCGGCGGGAGAGGGAGACAGATCGAAGGATGATCGGGATATATGAGAAGATCGCGGCTATCAAAGAACTCAAACAAGGCGAGGTGAACGAAGGAGGACGAAGATGTCGCAGAACTCAAATAAGGACAAGAACGAGCGCTCCGACGAGGAAGCAGTCGAAGATGTCGGCCAATGAAAACAAAAGCTAAAATTCGAAGGATTCAGACTAATTAAAGCTCTGATACCATGTCAATATTTTGAGAAAATAGGTTGAATGTCATTTATTTTGCTTTCATTTCATTAAATAATAGTTTGTACAATCTATTTTAAGTACCTAATATTCGGTATAATCTATTTCAAGTAACTTAATTAATACATATTCCTAATCTAAATATTTAGTTAAAAGAAAAGAATTCGTGCAAATATAATATTTCCTTCTTTGCAGCAATGTGAAGAAGTAAACTTTTTATTCTGTCTGATTCATTTATTCCAGATTGATAAGATTATTAATCAAATCTTCTTACATTGCATATAATAGATAAAAGCTCTCATATTACACTAAAACTGTTATAGAATTTTATTGCTTATAGAATTGGATGGATGATTCCCTAAATAATCATAGCAATATCATTAATCAAATCTTCTTACAGTGTTATATTTTTCTATAAGTTGTCATATAAGACTAAAATTGTTTTCTGGTTATAGAATTGAATACTATAAAATGCCCTCATTTACTAGATTAACAATATTCTCATACTCATTCAAATATCTTGACGGATCAACTTGAGCTTGTTTGAGTTGATATAGGTTCATGAAAATTAGCCCAAGCTGCTAAAAACACGGTCAGATTTTGAGAATAGAGCTTACTTTTATTGATAGGAGAAGGGGTATAAATACATATTACAAGGCTCAAATAAAAAGAAAAACATAAACTCAAAACTAGACAACACAAGAAATACATAAATATGAAAAAAGAATCAAACAAAGACTAATAATTACTGCAACAGTAATGTGATAATAATAACTGCAACAATAATATGGTAATAATTCTAATACTCCCCTTAAGTTGAAGCATAGATATTCATCATGTTCAACTTGCATTTGAGTTATCAAGTAACGGCCAAGAACGATCCTTGGTAAGGATATCTGCAAATTGAACACTGGCTAAAACAAATGAAACACAAATCTCCCCTGAATCAAACTTTTCTTTAATGAAGTATCAATCAATCTCTACATGTTTGGTGTGATCATGCTAAATCAGATTATGAGCAATGCTAATGATAGTTTTATTATCACAGTCAATCTGTAGAGGGGTAGAGACTAGCATATGTAATTCTCAGAACATGATGTGTAACCAGAGAATTTCACAAATACCAAAGGACAAGAAGCGAAACTCGGCTTCAGCACTACTCCGGGCCACAACCGACTGTTTTTTTATTTTTCCACGTGACAAGATTTCCCCACACGAATGAACAATACCCCGCGATAGATCGCAAATCATGGATGGATCCGACCAATCAAACA